ATTTGTGGCTATTAATATTATCATATTTACCACAAATCTGAATTTCTGTTACAGTACACGGTACGATTCCCCCACCGTACATGGCGCAGACGTCGAATAAAATGCATGGGCGGGTTAAGCACTCATCGCAGTCAAGCTGTTCCACGATTACTCGAAACGTCTCTGGTCTGACTACACGAGAGCTGAAGAACGAAGGAAAGATAACAAAGAGTGGATTTGGCTGTAGCACTGTAGCTGCTTGATAGGTCTCACATGGACGAGTCCTCTCTAAATCCACCGCTGCGTGCCCTGAGGGCGTTTGCCGACACCAATCGTCTGCGCTCTTCTAGGGTTGAACTTGTGTTCCGACCTATTGAGTAACTGTGGAAATAACCATCCCTATTATACGCCCTGAGGGTATCAGCATTGGAGCAATCAAAACCCTTGAGAGATACTAGGGTTATCCAGAAGGGTAGGCGACATAACTGTGATGAGTTACTCTACCCCGTGAACTGGCAGGCTCCCATATTTTGCCCGCAGATTCCTCTAGATCTGCTTAATGGACTTACAGAGGCAGGAAACAAACGTGTTTATGTAGTGAGCTTGTGATCGGCGTACATTGAATGGCCTCAAAGCTACAGATGTTACTGTAATTCTAATTAGCAGTTTTCCATCCTGTGTGAGACGAAAAGGTGGGTCAGACGGGCTTCTACGAGGTACTAAGTGGAGGAACTGTTACTAGAGGGACTATCACACCTGTTCCACTACACTCAACAACTCTTGTAATTAAAGCAGTGCGAGCAAACTATGTATACTCTCCATGACCGCAAATCTTTGTGCAGATGAATTACAATAGATCTCGTTGAGTTCAAACATCAAGTCTAGAGCAGTAGAAAAAGAATCTTTCCAAAAATTTATTCAATAAAGCAAATATCAACAGAAAGAGTCGACTAGAAACGTATGCTCTTTATAAGTAATTTGCAGTTAAAGTAGACATACAATAAGTACAACGTATTACGCAAGTGCTCAAGAAAAGTACATGACAAACTGACCGGCAAAGAATCTGCGGAATGGGACTCTTTGTCATTCTTCATATTTCGCAATTGCAAGCACCGTTTTAAGAAGACCTTCAGCGGCACACAAGTAAACAGCTGTGGTTCATTGAAAATGAACAAGATCTCTACTACCAGACTGGACAAACCCTGCGACACTTAGAACTTGTTGTTTTTTTCCAGAAAAAAAGCACTACCTAACCATTACTTTCCCAAAACTCATTTTCCTTGCTGAAATTTGCCCATAAGATGCTCTTATCAGGAATATCGCACTTGTTTTTGGGCCGGCACCATTTAACGCGTTTCTCAGCGAATTCTCTCTTTAAACTTGCATACAGGGATTATTCGATGCCCTTATAACGGACATAAAATTCGTTTTAACGTTGGCAGAATTTGGCGGCATTTCCGTGCCGCCACCTTCTTCACCAAAATCGGTGTAATCTTGCGTGCTGGGGTTACTCGTGCTTTGATCACGAATATGACATTGGTTTGGCACGAAATCTCTATACGCCCGCGTCACAGGCGGCAGCAAATGCTTCTTTTGATCTCGGCGCGCTAGCGCAATTCCTGGATGTTCCGTCCCAAGCGGTGTGCTAGAGCAGTTAGAACATGGCCAGACGAGACAGTACCCTTCCTGGTTGCCCGCGATAGCGATATCCTTCTCCTTG